CCGAGGAAAGCCAGGCCTCCATCCTTGTTTTTAAAGAAACTCTTAAAAGACATATAAAAATTTGATGATACAAAAATTGATAGTTTCCAAAGGACAAAAGATAGCATATAATAAAGTTAAGCAACTAGCACTTCATAATATATAAATAGCTCTCTAAATTAATAAGAAAGGGGGTTGGGGATTTAGCTCAATGGCCTCAGTGCCTGCCTGGCAAGTGTGAGGTCCTGAGTTTAATTATCCCCCCGAAAATTATTAATCAAAAGACAAACAATATAGTAGGAACACAGGCAAGGATACAAACAGGTAATTCATAGGGAAAGATATACAAGTATACAATAGCTTTATTGATAATCAAATATTGGAAGTTAAAGAACTATTTATCCACTTAGAGAGGCAAGTATTGAAGCTACTGCTAATATCCAGAGTAGGCAAGTGTGTGAGCCAGCAAGCGTTCTTCAACAAAGCTGGCATGAAGGTAGATGTGATTAGTCACTTTGGGAACTATTTGGCAGTAGCTATCATAATTCTATTTGCTCATATATTCAGATCCAGTAATTCTCCTTCTAGGAATTTACTCTACAGAGATTCCCACAAGTGTTCAGGAATAAATATACAAGAATCTCTTCGTGGAATTATTTGTAACAGTGAAATTCAGGAAACAAGCTAAATTTCCAGCATTAGGTATAGCTAAATAGATTATATACTATGTCATCATTAAAAAGAATGAAATAGAATCATATTTACCGATGTGGGAAGATTTCCAAAACATTATTAGGGAAATCCATTTAAAGAAAGTCATAATCTCATTCACATCAACATTTATATTATGTATATGTATGTAACATATCTAGTATGAAGTGTACAATAGATACCTGTGAAGGAAACTTGAGAGCCTCTGATTTTTCACTTTATGTTTCCTAAATTGTTTGGAAATTAGTTAGCCGCAAGCATATATTACTTTTTACTAGAAACAATGAAAGTGTTTATTAAAAAGAAAAACAAACAATAATGACTGGCTTGTTTCCTGTTGGAATAAAGCAGGCCAAGGTGGCCAGGGGGAGTGTCTTGCTGTCTGGATGTGGTCATTTGATGGCAAAGCCCCAAGCCTAAGCCACTCACTAGGAGAGGCCTAGGAACGAGCCCCTCTGAAGACCACCACATAATGAGCCATGTTGACCTCCCTGCTCCCTCCCAGGCCTCACCACTGCTCCAAGGACTTGATGTTTATGAAACACACACACTACAAACAAGAGCGACCTTTCTCCAGATGCCCTGTGTGTACCACATGTCTGTCTGTCCTTTCCTCTGGCTATGTGTTGTTCAACAGGTTACTTAACCTCTCTGAGCCCTGGATGCCTAGAAGGACAGCAGTAACTCTGCCTCATTCTGCAGTTGTGAGGGCTGAAAGAGAAAGTGCACAGCAAGCCCACTGCCCCCAGTGTTGGGCCACCACCCTGCTAAGGAAGCACCGCACCTCCTTCTTTGTTTCTGCAGCCCATTTTCACACCTAACCAGAGATGGCAAGGAGTATGGTGCTCCTTTTACAGTGTTTAGTGCAGAGCCTAAGGTTACGAGCTCATGATTGAGCTGGGGCTAGAACTCAGAGCTCCTAACTCCAGTGTGAACTTTAGCTCCAGGCTGTCTTTGTTCACTCAGACTCACGTCCTTGCTAGAACTCACCTGGGGGAAGGAAAGGACCTGGATACACAGGGTGGGGACTACCTGTCTGTGTCCCAGTGCTCCGACCCCTGGAAGGGGTGGGTATAAACCACCCAGGAGTCCTATTTGCAAGATGAGTGGTGAGTGAAGAAGACGGTGGGAGAGAAAATGTACCTGCTGGGCTCTGTCTGTTGGTTCCCATGATGCCTGCACACAGTAGGCACTCAGCAAGTATCAGCTTAGTCTTCCAGTTGACACTAATCCTAATGCATCACTTTGAATAGCAGAGTGGCATAAAGAGTTAGGCAAGGGTAGATTAAGGAACTCAAGAGGATTACTCAGTAAGCAGCTAAACCTCTTAAACTGCCTGGGAAAAGACTATGATCAGACTGTTCATTACTTTATTCAGCCAATGACTGTCAGGCACTTAGCTGAGCCTGAAGGATGACAGCAGTGATGGCAGTGCTCAGCAGGTGAGATCCACCCCATACCTATCAACTCTCCAACGTTGAAATATCTCTAATAGGAAGGTGCTAGTTTGGGACTAATGGGAGGCAGATGTGACACTGGAGCGTAAATCTCAGGAGGCACTTGTTGGCACTTTATGTCACCTCAACCTTATCCCCACCCCAGTGTTTATGGAAAGACACCATAATGTACTGTCCAGGCCCCTTCCATGAAATCATTGCCCTCTCTGCTGGGAGTGCTGTGGGCACACAGCCTTCCCCTGGCATCGGATCCAAGGACAGGTTCAGGTGGGGAGTTCTGCTCCGCACACACTCATGCCTCTAGTGCCTCAGCCATGGTATGGTCCCTGGGTGAAACATACTGCATGGAACAGGAATACAAAGGAGTACAATGACCTAACTCGGCATGGCTCTGAAGGGCCCATTTAGCTCCGCAGCTTGCATGGGGCTGGCCGGGGCTCTTGGTGGGGGTACTTTGTAGATTTGCTCTCTCCTTTCGCCTTTCTATAGTGCAGCTCCCTAATATCTGTCTTGCAAACTGAACCTGTGTTTGGAGTCCGCTTCTTGGGAAAGCCAATCTATAACAGCATCACAACGGACATAATAGCTGGTTAAAACACAGCCTTCCTAAAGACTCTGAGATAGAGTCCCCAAAGCCAGGGTTCAGGAATATTAGCACTAACTACAAACCCCACTGTCCCAGACACTTTACCTGCATTAATTTATTTGATCTCCACAGTAGCTCTACCAGGGAGATATTATTAATATTCCCACTTTTCAGATGAGTTTGAGAGAAGTTCCACTTATTTTGCAGAAAAAACTAAGAGATTAGTTATGAAATCCAGTCAACCAAAGGATAACTCAAAATAAAGTCAGCCTGGGGAGACTTTCATACATACAGGAATTCTATTTTTTTAAAAAAGATGGAAACATATCTTGCATGTGCCATGACTCCATTCATAGGCTTTAGAGAGCCTGACTTCTGACTCCGAAGAGCCAGCCCAGGCATGAGTGCAAGGCACAGGACCAAGGGGCAGCAGGTTGCATTAGGAGGGCAGCCCCTGCAGAGAGGTGAGGGACCCTTGTTGGAACTGAGTGTTTCCATAAGAACACACTTGGAGGATGAGGGAACTGCCAGAGGCCAGGCAGCTAGTAAGAGCACTTCCAGAACCGGACCCTGAGGCTGTCAGACTGCAAGTCCCTTGTTCTTTCCACTGGTCTCTCCTCCATTCCAGAGAGTGCCGTCATAATTCAGGGGTTTGGGGATCCAAATGCTGGTAGGTAGGCCAGCCTTGTCTTTTCTACTTGTCTTCTGTCCAGCTTGTCAGGAGGCCCTCTTGGAGGGCTTGTGGGGTTCAGCAGCTGGATTCCTTCCTCCACCTCTGCTTTAACTCGGGGAAATAGCAAGTGTTGAGCTTCTATTGTAATCCCCTCCATATGGAGAGCACTTGAGAGTTTATCAACTGCTTATAAACCATCCCTAGTTTGTTTCTCACTTATGTAGAGGTTATTGCCTTTAAAGTAGCAAGACAGGGATATTTGCCTTATTTTACTGCTGGAGAAACTGAGGCCCAGGGAGAAGGGAATAAAGGGAGTATTCAGCCCAGGACCAAACTTTCCCATCCCAGTTCAGCTCCTTGGTTTGTGTCTCTTTTCTGGGAGAAAACTAAACACTGGCTTCTCTGAGCACAGAGCTCAAGGTAGTCCCTCCCCAGAAGCCTTGGGAGAACACGTAGGCTGCTGGAGTCCTGTTGACAAGCCACTTGCTTGGCCCCAGGACAAAGCCTGACCACTAGGAACAGAAGGTCTCAGCCTTTTGCTCCTCCGTAGTCTCTAGAGTCCATGTCTCCTAGTGAATGTCCCGTTGTCTCACTGGAACACTGCAGCACCTGTGGCTGGGCTTTCTCCTGCCTCCTGTCTTTTGGCCTTTCTCCCACATACCTGAAGAGCTTTTTAGAAGAGTCAGCAGGGGGGCAGCCAGGAACTCATATGGGTGATCAGGACTCAGGCTAAATCCCACCAGGCTTGGGCAAGCTCTACATCCCTCATTTATGAAAGGAGGCCTGTGCCGACCTTAGAAAACTAAAGTTGTTAGATCTTTCTCGCCCCTTTTAGACACCCATGCCTTCCCCATAAATTCTCTACACTAGTACAACTCCCTACCTTTCAGCAAGCTCTTCTCCAACCCCCAAAACACACTCATCAGCCACAGCCGCTCATTATATCAAATGTCTATACACCCCTGAAGCCTGAATGATCCCTGCCCCAGCCAGCTGAACTACTTCCACCTCGGGCTTGCCCAGTCGGCCTGTTCTCTGGATCTCATGCCCTTCCTTGTATCAAGATTAGTTATTTCCAGGTCTGTCACCCACCTCATCCCTCCTGGACTGTCACTGCATGAGAGCTTGTACCCTACTGGCGCAGGTACTGGAATAAAACAAGCAGCAATTTGCAGAATCACCACTGTCATTTTTGAGGCTGCCTAGGAGTCTGGCACAATGCTAGAGACAACACAAACATCTAGTCCATCTCTAAGGAAATAGGTCTCAGAAGTCCAAGAAGATGGTGATTTGGGTTTGGAGTTACGGGCCAGAGCTAGGCCAGCTGAAACTTCAGTCATTCCCAGCTCTCCCCACCCTACAAGATGGGAAATCTATGCTTATGCTACCACCTAGCTACAGCCTCTGCCTTCCAGGTTGTGACAGTACAATTGCATAACTCACAAGATATTTTTGAAAGGAACTGTGTTTCCTGTCCTGGGCACTGCTAGGAACTGTGGCACCCACCCATCCCACCCTAGTGTCAACAGTCTCAGAACAGCAGAAGCTAAATATAGTCGGGAACTGGAGTGATAAGGAAATGAAAACTCAAGACTGCAGAGTGACCCAGTTTTATTTTGGTTTTGGAGGCCAGATGGGGCACTGCTCCACTCCGCAGGGGTCGGGCTGTACATCTTCCCCTCCCCAGGCTGGAGGCCCAGCAAGGGTGAGCGCTCAAGGACGGTGGCTCCGGGAACCCCATCCTGGTAGTGGGGGTTGCTCGAGGAGTAGGAACACCAGGCAGAGAGGCCTGAATGGCTCAGATTGGGGGTTGGAGAGGGGTAGGAAAAAGACAGGACCCAGAAGCTAAGAACGTCGAGTCTCGACAGTCTACTTCACTTTACCGCTGAGGCTCCGGTCAGAGAAGTGAAGTCACATTCACACCATAGTAGGCAGGGCCTTGCGGCAAGCCCGGCATCGCGCCCACCGCTAGGCTTTTGCACTCTTTGCGGCCACCGCCCTCACGGAGGGCGCGTGCGGGGCCACGTCGCGAGCTGCGGGATCCAGCGGGCACTCAGGCTCGCTTCTCTTCTAGGACGCCGAGGCCTCTCAGCAGCTCACAGAGCCGGCGGGCGGCGCCGACCCCAGGTCCGAGAAGCAGTCGAACTCGCTCTGGCCCAGGAAGAGCTCCGGGAGCTCACGCACGCGGTGCAGCCCGAGCTCGAGCTCCAGCGACGTCAGCGCCTCCTCGTCGATGAGTTCGGCGTCCATGCTGCCCAGGGCGTGTGCGGGCTGCAGAGGGGCCGCGGCGCCGGGCGTGGGCTGCAGGCCTGGGGGGCTTCCGGGGGCGCCCGGGGGAGCGGTCTGGCGACCCGGATACAAAGCGGCCACCTGCTGCAGGTGCGCGCTGCCGGCGGCGGGTGGCGGCCCCGCAGGAAAGGGCTGAAAGGAGAATGGTGGCCCGAAAGCCCCGAACGCCAGGGCCCCGGATTGGGGAGGGGGCGGTCCTAGTGGAGCCCCCTGCGGCCTCAGCCCACTGTCCACGCTCTGGTCCGCGTATGGCTGAAGAGTCCGGAGCGCGTGAGGGCTGTGGGCGGGAGCGCCCGGAGGCGGCCTCTGCACCAGGCGGTAGCCTTCGGCGAGCATCAGGTGGTCGGCCATGGCAGCGGACGGAGGGTGGGCGCAGGCGGGCGACCCCGGGGCCCGAGCCAGCTGCTCCTCTGAGGCGGGAGCCCCGGGCACCGTGCGGTCTCTGCAGTTCAGCCAGGCAGAGGAAACTGAATCCGACCCTTTCGTCGGCCCAGCCCAGGACGCTTTGCGCGCCGCGTTCCACGATCCTGCGATCTCCCGGGTACTGTAGCTCCGCGAAAGACCAGTGAGTGCCTCACAGTCTGGCTCCAAGACGCGCGCACCGCGCTCTCCAGGCGAGCTATTTCTTTATACTAGAGGCGGGGATGACCCGCCCCCGCCTGTCATTGGTTGGATGAACGTTTCTGGGCGGGGCGCGAGGCCCATCTATTGCTAAGTGCCGCCCTTTAACGGAGCCCCGCCTCCAGCGCCCAGGCACCGTCCTGCTGCAGTGGGGCGGAGAGTTTGACACTAGAAGTTCAGTGTGGTTTTAGACTCCAGGCTAGAGTGAACTCGAGCGTGAATGTACCAGAAGGTGAAATAGGGGTGTGGCAGCGATCTCAGGCCCACCTAAACTCTTAATTTTCTAACTAGATAGTGAGTGTTAGGAGCATAAGCGGTTTCCTAGAAATACACAGCAAAGCCTTGCCCAAAGTGAGACTTGAACCCAGGTCTTATGGTGATTACCACATCTACACAGGACACAGGGCACCTCAGCAATGCAGGGTCCCCTGGGAGGTCGGCTCACTGTCCCCACAGTTTCCAGAGATCCATTTGCTTTCTCTCTGGCTCCCACTGCACCTTGTCTGTTGAAGCATGTACGGGGTTGTTATTAAAATAATTTATGGGCACGGCTCCTGAAGGACTTGTTCATCTTCTTCTCAGCACTTGGCCGAGAGCCTGGCCCAGCTCTTTTGGTAAAAGTTGAGTGAATAAATACATGATGGAATGGGTTGCACCTCAATCCCTGGAGCCTCCATATCTTCACCTCTAAGATATTGGCATCAGCTGCACGGACCCTCCTGGACTGTGGTGGAGTTTAAAGCAGGGAACGTGCCCGTGTGGTATCCACCATAGTGCCAGGCACCTGGAATCTCAGAGTGGTCTATCCGAGAATGAGAGTTCAGATTACTCCATCTCTGACCACCTTGGGGGTTGGAAAGGCTTCCGCACCTTCCCTAGACCTAGATAATAACCTGGAATTTTATTTTATTTTTTTCTTTTTCTTTTTGGTACTGGGAATCAAATTCACGACCTAGCGCTTGCCAGGCAAGCGCTCATGCTGCTGAGCTAAATCCCTGGCCCCATAACCTGGAATTTTAGAAGGCATTACATTCTCTCAGCATCTTGTGGGGAGCAGGTGTGAGTTTTCACCCCCATTTGGCAGAGAGAGACAGACACGCAAGAGACAGTGGATATCCACAGGTCCCATGCAACAGGTTAGCATGTGAAAGCTGTGTGTTCTCCAAGTCCTCAGACAACTGGAATCGTTCCCTGTGATCAGGAAATACGCTCCTTGCTCTGTGACCTCCACCTATTTACCCCTCTTTCCCTCCCTCCTCTCACTCCCTTCCCCCAGCCTCTGTCATGGGCTTCCTGGAACTTGGGTTTATCTGGTTGGTGTAGATGCTAGAAGCCTAGAGTGAGAGTTCAGAGGTCCGTGTTCTAATCAAAGCCCTGCCCCCAGCAGGCATGTGACCCTTAGCTGGTGCTGTTGGGGTGGAGGTGGGGGAGTCACTTGATTCCCCAGGGCCTCAGCTTGTGATCAGTGAAAGGGAGGTAGTAATCCCTGCCTGGGCACCCAGAGAACTTGTGAGAAGGTCACAAAGGATCACAGGTATGATTACATTTTTGCAAAGTGTAAAAGCCACACTGTGGAATGGATTCCTGGATCTCTTTCTAGTTAAGTTTGCACACAGAACTCCGTGTTTCTTGGACTCATTCAGAAGTGGAGTGGGGGGGGGGATTGAAAAAGAATCTTCAGTCCCACCTTAACACCCAACTCAGACTGTCTGAGGGTACTCCATTTTTTGTTCTTCTTGGTACTGGTGATCAAAGTCAGGGGCACTCCACCACTGAGGGATGTCCCCAGCCCTTCTTATTTTTGTTTTTTTAATTTTAAAACAGAGTTTCATTAAGTTGCTCCAATAGGACTTGAACATGTGCTCCTCCTGCTTCAGCCTACTCACTGCTAGGGGGACAGCTACGTGCTACCATGCCTGACTATCTGTGGATATGTTTAAATCATAAGATTCTGTGGGGGTTTTGTTTTGCTTTGTTTTGTTTGTTTGGTACTAGGAATCAAACTCATGATCTCATGCTTGCCAGGCAGGTGCTGAAGATTCTGTGTTTTTAAAAATCATCCTGCCATGCTGACGTAGTTGACCCAAGGACACCAGAAATTGGGAACTGTTGCACAATAAGAAAACTTTTCTTTTTCTTTCTTTTTTTTTTTTTTTTTTGTCTTTTTCCTTTTTATTGGTACCAGGGATCGAACTCACGACTGCCTGCTTGCAAGGCAGGCGCTTATGCCGCTGAGCTAAATCCCCAGCCCCCAAAAAACTTTTCTTTTAAAAAGTGTGTGTGTGTGAATATTTTAAAAGTTCTTTTAATTTTGTTTAAAAGCATTTTATTGAGCATCTACAGTATGCTCTTTAAGTTCTTAAAATCATGTGATTCTCTATGCTCACTTTGGTAGCACATATACTAAAGTCATGTGATTCTTTAATCTAATGAAAGCTACAGATGTCATACCCACAAACTATCACATATGCATTCAGTGGGTTAATGAATTTAGGGTGAGGGAGGCATCTATGGGCTCCTCAGGAACTCATGTAGTCTGAAGAACCCCTGTTAGTACCTGGGGACATATAGTACATAACAAAAAAATTAAACCCATGATCCACATGTTAGAAAGTGAGAAGTGCAATGGGGAAAATTGGAGAAGCAAGGAATTTGGGGAGGAGGACTATAGAACTGTACAGGGTGGTAATAGGAGAAGATCTTAGCCATGTGGCACCTGGGTCAAGAGCAGATGTATCAGTAAGGCGTGGTGGTGCATGCTTGTAATTCCAGCATTCGGTAGGTGAGGCAGGAGGATTGTCCTGAGTTCAAGACCAGCCTGAATTGCATAGTGAAATCCTGTTTCAAAAAAGAAAACTAATGAACAACAACAAAAGCAAAATAACAGATGTGTCTGTGCAGACATGGCCAATATAACGCTCAAAACATTGCAGGTGTCAGAACATTTCAGATTTCTGATTTTTGAATTGGGGATGTTCCGCCAGTAAAGTCTATGTAAATATTCCGAAATTTAAAAAAAAACAAAAACAAAAACAAAAAACAGACTCTGAAGCCCTCTGGTCTCATGCATTGTGGATAAGGGACACCCAGTCATTCCCACTTTACAAAAGAGGAGACAAGGGACTCAGAAGAGGAAGTGACCTGCCCAATGTCAGACAGCTACTGGGGCAGGATCGTGCTGCCCTCCCATACCCCCCCTCCCGAGTTCCTTCCTTCCCCATGTTAGCAGCACGCAGGTGAACTCCTGGCCTGGTAGCTCTAGCCGCTTCCTCTGCTTGAAGCATTCACCTTCTCCATCTCTGCTTGGCCAATTCTCTCACCCCAAACTCACCTTTCTCTTATCCTGACCATCTTATTTAATTTTAGTGTTTTCAAAATACATTGAAAAGTTCTATGATACTACTCCTCTAAAGTCTCCTATTACTGAATGTGGGATAGATTTCATGACTCACTTCTAACATGAATGTAGCAGAAGCTATGGTGTCACTCCCAAGACTAGGTCATAAAATGCACTGTGGGCTCTTTGTCTCTGTCTCTGTCTCTGTCTCTCTCTGTCTCTCTCTCTCCTGCTCTGGGGAAAGGTAGCTGATCTGCTGTAAGGATACTCAGTGGCTGAGGAGAGGGCCACATGACAAAGAACCGAGGCATCTTGCCAATAGCCAGTGAGGAGCTATGGCTCTGGCAGCAGCCGTGACTGTGCACCATCTTGGAAGCAAAGCCTTGAGCCCTAGTCAAGTTTTCAGGTGTCTACAGCCTCAGCCAACGTGCTGTTTGCAACATGAGCCAAAATGGCCTAGCTCAGGTACCATTGGATTCTTGACCCACAGAAATTGAGGTTAAAAATATGTGTTTGTTTAGTTTAGTTTTATTTTATTTTTTGTGCTGGGGATTGAACCCAGGGCCTTATGAATTCTATGAAACTTTGTGCTACCACTGAGCTACATTTCCAGCCCAAAATTGTTTGTGTTTTGAACTGATAAGTATTGGGGTAATTTTTGCACAGCTATAGATAACTACATCACTAATATAACAACGTGTCTTTATTCCAGCCCTGGAATGAGACTTTGCTTGCTCTAGTTTTTGTTTTTTTCCTAAGCATTTATCATCTCCTAACACACCAGTTCAGTTATTTGTTATGAGAAATTGCTTATCTCCTCACCACTAGACTGTCAACTCCACAAGCGCAAGGAACTTGGCGCTTTTAATTGAGGTGCCTAAAGCAGTGCCTGACACACACTGAATTTCATTAAATATGAGGTGTTATTAATTTAAGATTCTGGTTCTAAAAAAGTTAAAATGTAAGAAAGAATTCATGTGTCTTCCCATCAGTAAAATATGGCTGTAGGCGCTCTAAGTTAGAATGGAAAAGGAAGAGATGGTGATTTTGTTTAGGGAAGCAGTATGCTCAGCATCAAATCAGACCATTGTCTGACATGAGCTGAAGAAAATGGGATAGGGTTTCCTGGAAAGCTCTGAATAGTGATGGAATTATGCAGAATAGGTAAATCCTCTTGTCAGGGGTTAAGGGTGTGGGGAGCCACTGCTTAGTGGGTTCGAGGGTCCTGTTCCTTTTGGGGATAGTAAAAAATGTTTCGGAGCTAGAGTTGGTGCATGTACAAAACAGTCAGTGTACTAAATGCCACCGAATTGCTCGTTTTAAAGTGTTTCATGTTAATGTGATATAAATGCAGTCTCGGTTGAAAACAAAACAAAAATGCTTTGAGCCAGCACTCACTTTCTGTGCTTTGCTTTCCTCCCTTCCTGCCAGGGATGAGGGTGTGACAGCTAAAGGAGCGGTAGCCTCCCCTTTCAGTCTGAGGGCAGAATGACAAAGATGGGTAGCTTGTGGTGCACCAGACATCATTCTTTACAAATATCAACTCATATCCTATTTACAATAATCCTTGGGGGAAGCACTGTTATTTCTATGCACGAAAATACTGAGGACCTGAGATTTAAGTCAGTGGCATAAGCACCTGCCTGGTAAGCGTGAGATCATG